GGACCTTTTCTACAATGACTTTCCCTGAGCTGAGCAATGGCAGCTTGAGTGGGAACCGGACGGGACAGGGCAGCCAGAGCGGTGCCAACCGGTCCTGGGGGCTGCAAGGTGAGGAGACCCCCGAGGGCAACGGCACCACGCTGACTTTCACCTTGGATGTGCAGGCGGTGGGCGTCGGGGTCTTCCTGGCCATCTTCATCCTCTCAGCTATTGTGGGGAACATCCTGGTCATCCTCTCGGTGGCTTGTAACCGACACCTGCAGACGGTCACCAACTACTTCATCGTCAACCTGGCCATCGCCGACCTGCTGCTCAGCACCACCGTGCTCCCCTTCTCGGCCACTTTGGAGGTCCTGGGCTTCTGGGTGTTTGGGCGCATCTTCTGCAACATCTGGGCAGCGGTGGACGTGCTGTGCTGCTCCGCCTCCATCATGAGCCTGTGCATCATCTCCGTGGACAGGTACATTGGTGTCAAGTACTCCCTCAAGTACCCTACAATCATGACCGAAAGGAAGGCGGGGGTCATCCTCGTGGTGGTCTGGCTCTCCTCCATGGTCATCTCCATTGGACCACTGCTGGGATGGAAGGAGCCACCACCACCAGATGAAAGCATCTGTAGCATCACAGAGGAGCCGGGCTATGCCCTGTTCTCCTCCCTCTTCTCCTTCTACCTGCCCCTCACGGTCATCCTGGTGATGTACTTCAGGATCTACGTGGTGGCCAGGAGGACCACCCGGAGCTTGGAAGCAGGGGTCAAGAAGGAGAGGAATAAATCCATGGAGGTAGTACTGCGTATCCACTGCCGCAGCGTGCTGGAGGAGCCTCTCTCCAGCACCCGGAGCAAGGGACACAATTTCAGGAGCTCCCTCTCTGTGCGGCTCCTCAAGTTTTCCCGTGAGAAAAAAGCAGCCAAGACTCTCGCCATCGTCGTGGGTGTTTTCATCCTTTGCTGGTTCCCCTTCTTCTTCGTCCTGCCTTTTGGTAAGTGACATCGTCCCCCATCCCAGCCCCACTGCTTGTGGCTGAACCCCTGGGCACCTGCTCCTTGGGACAAACTTTCAGGACACAACTCATGCATGGAGGTGAGGGATAGGTAACCGATAGGTGAATAAACTAGTCATGAATTAATTCAATTAATTCACACTTATTCAATATTTATTAATCAGAGTCATATAATCAAAGTAAATAACGAATGAGTAAAATAGCAGCATAACAATTGGTTTAATGAATTCATTCTGCGTTCAGCAGTTTAATTAATGAAATTCAGGCCGAGGAGGAAGCAGCTCTCTCTCAAACAGGCTGTAATTACGGCACAGCTTTTCTGTCCCTGCCCCCAGCCTCCCTTCCTGCCAATTTGGGAGAGGGCACCTGGATCTGCCTCCATGGACCCAGGGCTCCCACCTCGGTTGTGAATTGGTGAAGATGTTGGAGATGAGTGAGATTTGATCCCCCCAAAGGAGCGTGTCACAGTCTGAAGCATAAGTCTTCCTGACTCCCCAGGATGCCAATGTTGTGCAGGGACCTGGAGCAGGACCAGGTCTTACCTACAGGGGTGATGGTCCTAGGTGATTTCCCAGGACTGATCCACCTCCTCCAGGAGTCATGCCCTCAGCTCCTGGCCCTGCCATGGTGTCTGTGTCACTGGGTGCTCGTTTGGAGTTTTCTGGTGGGTTATGCTCTGAAGTTTTGGCAAGTTGTTTGCCCAGGTGAAAAGGACGCAGCCCCCTGCGTGCCGAGGAGGCCGAGCAGACAGAGAGCCTGCGGGGAATTGTGATGTCCAAAGCAAGGTCCCTTTCCAGCACCAGTGCTACCCGTGGCCCATGAAGTGCAGGAAAGCCAGTGCTCCTCACCACCACCCCATCTAACAACAGGCACCCATTGGGGACCTGATTAACCCTCTGGAGTGGTGTAGCTAAACCTAAGGGGGAAAAAAGAGTTTAAAATAACTTCTGAACATTGACGATGGCCTTTGCGCAGAGCTCAGCAGAGAGGTCTGTCACTTCGTCTGCGCTGTGGGACCCACGTGTCCCACAGCCCACCGGAGACTTGTGTCCAACTAACCCCGCAGCCAGGGAAACATTATAGCTAGTTCTGCGCTTTTTCTCAGGATTTTTCAAATCCTCTTGCTTAAGGCTGCCTCTCGAGTCAATAGAAACAGCATAGTGACCACAAGACTGATTGACCTGCTGAGGTTTGGATCTTCCTCCAGCACTGTGGCTGTCCCTCCTGGGGACAGCTGGAGCCCAGGGCTGTCAGACACCTGATTGATGCCACTCAACCCTCACCTGCCCACCAGTGGGATAATTCACCAGGACCGATGGTGCCTTGGGAGCTGAGGTGTCCCAAGGGTGGCAGATCAGGGTTGTGGGTGTCTGGTCTCACCGTGCTGCTCTCTTGTACCTCTTTACTTCAGTTTCTCTCTCTGGGCGAGGGTGGTATTTGGTGAGTTTATCTCAGCTGCCCACAGGGGTGAAACGGCTGCTGCGAGCAGTTCTCACCCGATGTGAGGGTGGGAGTTCATGGTATAACTCAGGCAGGGAGCACTAAGGCTGCAGTGAACTTTGCTCACTACAAGACCTGAGATACATTATCCCATCTGACCATGCCTCAGTTTCCCATTCATTGATCAGGTGCCATTGATCAGGGGATTTCTGTGGCCTGCAAATAAATAGTTTGGAAATTGTGGGGCTCAGGGAGACAGCAGTATCCAAAGGCTGAGCTCAGTGGGCAGCCCCAGTCTGATACTCGCCTCCTTGGTTCATCAGCAGGGCAGGAACCAGCTCCGAACCTCATTAACAGCTTTACACCTCACAGCTAACGAAGCTGGGAATCAGGATCCTGTCCCTCTGAGTTATTCTCAGTACTTGGAAACAGAGAACAAACATCAGGGAAATACTTTTCAGTAGAAAAAAAAAGTATTTTCTTTTGTTTTACGATATCTGTTCTCCCTTGAAACCCTTGAACCAGCTTCTCCACGGGGTAGTCAATCGTTGCCCTTGCACCGATATGCCAATTTACACCAGCTGAAAATCCAAACTTCATTCTTTAAGTACCTCCCCTGAACCCATTTGCTTCCTCCAAGCCCACAACTTGCCAAGTTCTTTATAAACACGGCTTTGATCTTTACTTCCTGCTGTATTATACATATAAACACACAAAAAGTTAATTTATTTTATGACTACAAAATACACTGCCTTTGATTTCACTCACTTTTAATAATTGCAATTTCCCATTCGAAACTGAGAATCATTCAATGCTGTTTAGAAGGAGAACAGAAACTTCTGCAAGGTCTAATCTCTGATTTTACATTTCGGGAGACAGGTCTGAAACTCAGAGAAATCAGCAAAGTTCACTGTAAATCCACAAACTGGAACACACTGGGGCCAATTCTCTTTGAAAAGATGATTGCAAATGGTTAAGTAGAATGGCTTTTTTATTTGCTTCTCAGAAAAAACTTGTGTGAAATAATTTGAGGCCAACTGGAAATGATATTGATACCCATTTTAAATGAAAATGAAACACTTGTGAGAAACAAAAATCGCTTTCAACTGAAGTGAAACACACTGTTTCAATTTAAGACTGAATGTAAGTTTATTTAAAAATGAGTACTCAGATACATTTCAAAACGAATTGTCAGATTAAAATGAAATGAATAAGAGATCTATTTTCTTCTGAAGATATCGAAGTGTTTTGACTTTTTTTTTTCTATTTGACATGAATTTGCAAGAAGTTGTCATCGACTTACACTGTTGACTGACTGTTGTCTGATTATACTTTTTAGGGATAAGTAGATTTGTTGACTGAAAAAAGACTCCCAGCTGTACTTAGCATTGACTTAGCAATCAGAAATTTCCGTACTGGCTCTGTCACCAGCGTCTGTGTGAGTCTGCACACATCTTTGCAACTCTTCGCAGAGCAGTTTCCACCTTAGTTACACAGGAGTAATATTTATCACATCAGTGTTAAGAAGCTGAAACAACCGATAATTTTAAAGAACAAGACCTATGCATGTGCCAAATGTAGTCAGCCATTTCTCCATGCTTGAATGGAGATTATAACAAAGATTATTCTTTAAATCAGCTCAAACTCCCCAATACCTCTACAGTCTATTTATCAGCCGAGTAATTTAGCTCACTCTTGGGTTTGTGATGCTTGTCCCAAAGCACAGGA